ACCTACCTATATGTATATACATATGTGTAATTATGCACACGAGAGAAGGTGCGAAGCTAAAGAGTTGTTCTACTATATCTTGGCTAATTTCGCGTGTTTCTCCGCCTCTGTATATGTATATACCCGCAGTGTATAACGTGCACCATACGTGTGTGTTCATTGGTCTCTTTTTCTTTTACACAGGCGCAATCCGTGGCCATGTCGACATTCCATAGGCCTCGCTTCGGTATGTGGTCTGGTTTTTCGATGTATCTCTCGCGTCCCGCTCTCACGTGCGGGCTTACGCAATTCCGTATATATACCTGTATGTTATACCCACCTCGATACACATACACGTTGAAAAAGCAGAGTCGCTGATTGTACCGAGGGTGTGCGTTTGCGCTAAGCTGCCCGTTTAACAGAACTGTATGTAATGTGCGTTATGCATTGCAATATTATATTCCTATACGCGCCTGTTTCCGCGTTACGTCGAGCCGACGAGTGAATATGACGTGCAATTACGTACGGAGTTGCCCACTCATTAACTCCGTGTTTTAACCTTGTCTATTAGGTTCCTTTTTTTTCCTCTACGTCCAGGATAATGGCACGCGGACTGTTGTTGACGGTTGCCGCGAGTTCATTTCCCTATGCCGATCTTTACCGATCACACCCGACACGCCCTTGCAATTTCATGACTCGCATGGGCCTTGATTGTTTTTTCTCATTTTTATCGACCCGCACGTACCCACTCGAGGAATTGTGAAATTTCATGGACGGCACTTTTGTTTATTTTACCGGAGGAAAAAAAAAAAAAATTTATGTGCAGAGGCACAAAGAGACCCGAAGACTATTTTCATGAAAAATCCATTTGACCATTGCGCTCAAGGCTCGCGTTTTCGAAACTTCACGCGCAAGACACGGAAGAGGGACAATTATGCTTTGGCTCGATTTGAACGGGAGAAAGTGCAATCGTTAAATCGTTATACCCAGCGAGAGTGCGGCTATGCAAATGGACTATATACACACTCGCGCAAAACTTTTGGGCAAATAACATCAACGGCTATACTCTTGTTGACGCGCAGGAAAAGCTTGGACTCTAAAAGTCCTTTCCACCGGCTGCAAGGACGTTTCCGGCGCGTGCGTACGCTGTTGAGAAAAATAATCGAAAAACGAGGAAAAACTTGGCGCCGCGAGGGAGAAAGTACGAGGAGGCACCCGCGAATAAAAGAAACGGCTCTTTCTCTTTCTTACCAACGGCATGGGAGCGCGCACTTTTTTTTTTACGACTAGGAAATACTTGTACTCTTTGGGTCTGCCTTTTCCCCGCGTTTCAATACACATCTCGACCTCTTCGTGCGAAAACGATACACTTTCTCGGTACAAAAGCAAGCGCCAAGGACAATTGGTTGCACACTCGGCTGTGACGGATCGTCCGCGATTCGGAGCCAACGACAGCCGAGTGACACACAACGTCAAGTGAAAACTAGTTTAGCTGCTTGCGTGTGTCATATCCCTAATTAAACGGGTAGGTATTCATCGGAGAGGTGGAAGAAAGTATGGACGTGCAAGAAAAAAGAGCGAAAACGTGAGAAAAGCCACTCGCGCAAGAGAAATTGGAAAAAAACGTACCGAACCGTATCAACGACAATGGTTGCATTCGTATATATATATGTCGTTGTGTCGCATACGTCTCGTCAAATAGTACTTACGCGGACTAAAAGGGGGAAAAAAAAGAAGCGGTAGCAATCGAAATTGATGGCACATTGTGCACAGCCGCGAACCGCAATCCGACCGCGAAAATCTCTTTGCCGCTGGTAACGAGTTGCGGTTGGTATATGCAACGTATACATATCAATACACCTTCAACGCAGATCATTGATTCGTTGGAAGACGCCGTAACTGTCGTTGGTTACACTTACATATAGATTGTACTACGAGAGAAAGTGAGAATCAGCACGACGTACAGCAAAATAATGGCACAGCATGGAAAAACCACCTGTACCCCTATTAGGGCCCTCGTCTGTTTCCCTCTCGCTCTGGCTGTATATCTATTTACACAGCAAAATACTCGAGCGCTATTTCCGCTATTTGGTTCTAAAGCATTTGTGTGAGTGTAATGGCTGCTGCACGACAACCGTCTCGCGGAAAAGTGGCTCTTCGGAGGCTGGTCGGAAAAAGGGAAAACGGAAGCTGTATTTGCTCCAAGCGATCTCCGGCTCCATCCACGGGTCCACCTGTTTTGCTAGCTCATTTTTTTTCTCTTTTTTTAATACGCAAGTAGCGGACTTGACTTTTTTTTCGGATAATCTAAAAAAAGTTTATTTTACAATAAAGTTACCTATACTTGATTCAACAAGATTATTCGCATATGTGGGCAAGTTGTAAGAGCCAAGGTCTTCTCCTGGCTGCACGGAGAGGGAATTTACGGGTTTATCGCATGGAGGGTATCTGGCTGTTAGCGCATGCAGCTCCCCATGCGTCTAAAACGCGAAGCTGATGCGCTGGATGCCAGCCAGTGCTTGTGTTAAGGCCCGTAGAGTGTTACATGCTATCAACACATGTGAGTACACGGCTGCGAACCAAGAAAAGCCGTAGCCGAAACTCATCGACTATGTCCGAGCTGAAAACGCAAGGAGCATGATGGGTTTAACGCATCATGCTCCTTGCGTTTTGGGTATCAGCTGATGGTTGGCGCAAGAGTCTGCTATATACGTATACGTATACACGTTATGTATATATGATTCTCAATATTCTCATAGCCTTTCCAAATACTAAGTGCAGCAATTTCGAGATGTGCATTGTGTACGAGTGACAAACGGTGTAACAGCTAGCTTATGCATCTCATCGCAAATCATTTAATTTGGTACGTAAGTATATAAAGATGATGCATTCGCACAAAATTTTCAATGTTGTGGTATTTCTAACCAAAAACATCAGAAATAAGTTTACACACATATATGTATATATATAAATATACATATATGTACGTTAGAATAGGCAGTAATAATTTATTTGTCAAATATTTATTAAAAAATATCTTATTGCAACAACACTTATCTTGTGTCAGAAACGCAAACGTACATTTTGAGTACGTCGACAGCTCTTTAGAAATAATCTGTTGGTGTATCGGTTTGACACTTACAATTATGTTATGTTTGATTGATATAGGACCCTGTGCACATGATTTCTAATTTACTGAATTGTCTCCGTTCATAAGCACTCAAGATATTTAATTCACTACAAAGTCTTAAAGTCTTGCATGTTAGACTTTGGTTATGGATAATTTTCAACAACAAGCAGGAGACTTTTCAGAATCACTTGTACAACCTTCGTTATCTTCCAATGGTTTGCTTCTTATTGTATTATCATCATTACCTTGCATGTTTTACATAAAGTATAAACAATTGGTACAATAGCCTTCATTTTTCTATAAATTATAGTATTTATTTGGATAACGACAAATAAATTTTTAATGCTATGCACAAAATAATAGTCGATTAATTTATTTTTCCTTCATTACATGCAGCAGAAACAAGCGAGAAAAAAAGAAAGTAAAAACTTCCTGTATTATACAATTTTTTATTTTGTTACATTAATTAAAATTTTTTTTTTCCTTTCTAAAACTTGCATAGCGTTTAAAGTTCATACTTGTAACACATTCTCATATGTAATACTTAAAAGAACAGAAACAGCGTTAAATGTATACATATTTATATGTATATATACATATATAGCATATATATATAGGCGCTCGCGCCTCGTGCCAACGCCGCCAACTATCAGCTGATACCCAAAACGCAAGGAGCATGATGCGTTAAACCCATCATGCTCCTTGCGTTTTCAGCTCGGACATAGTCGATGAGTTTCGGCTACGGCTTTTCTTGGTTCGCAGCCGTGTACTCACATGTGTTGATAGCATGTAACACTCTACGGGCCTTAACACAAGCACTGGCTGGTATCCAGCGCATCAGCTTCGCGTTTTAGACGCATGGGGAGCTGCATGCGCTAACAGCCAGATACCCTCCATGCGATAAACCCGTAAATTCCCTCTCCGTGTGTAAGTCAAGTACAGGTGTGTGCGCTCTCGTCGAGGCGAAAAAAGGAGCCAAGGTATGCCACGACGATGGGCGGAGAGCAGAGAAAAAAAAAAAAAAGAGAAAAACAATTTCATGCAGGTATAGTGCGGCGATAGAGAAGCGGAATACAAATCGTGACTCCCCCGCGTCGTCGGCCCCAATGCGAATGCCTAATGGCGAATTGCTGTTATCGTCGACTTACCGGCTTTGTTTGGTGGAAGGAAAAAAAAAAAAAAAAAAAAACAGCTCACTTCGTGCATTTATTTGCGACATGAGAATAGCAAATAGCAAAGTTCGAAGACCCCAGAAAATGCCTTTGTCTCTGATGCTTGGGATAGGAATGCATATAAACTGCGTTCGTTTTTGGATTTCATTTATTTTCATAGTCTTCCACACTGCTTGTACAAAAAATGTTTATAAATTGCAATATTTTGTAAACTTATGCACTAAAAATAAAGCGCCTTAAATAATCGTGGAAAATTATATTTTTAACAGATTTTTATTTATCGACAGACTAACCGACCTATGATAATCGCTGACTTCGCTTATCACCTCTTACTGATCGTTGGAAACTGTTTTTAAATACCGACTGTAGAGAAAATGTTTTACCGTCTGCAGATTGGTCTGTAGATACCGACATCGATAATTGGTATACAAGCAATAAGTCACGTTACGGCGTTATAACTATTAATTTCTATTAAATGCAACTATTGTACGTAGAGTACTAAAATGTTTATTAAGTACCCGATTTTTTGCATTATCCTTATGTAGAATGTTATTTCCCCTTTATTCATTGAATTTCTGCTTTTTTTTAGGTTGCTCAACAACCAAATAGAGGGCACGTTTTTAATAATTATGGAAAAAATATATCCAATACGTGAAATGATAGAGAAATTCGATAAACTGATCTTGTAGAAAACCATTTTCTAACTAGGCTGATTGATCTCTAGTTAGCAAAATTTATATATTAATCTTAGGTACAAACTTAAATATTCTGAGACCATCACAATATTCCTTACTACTACGCTAAACTATTACAATAAATAAGAATGACTTGAGTAAAAACACAATTTGCTCACATGTTCTAATCTTTGTGCTTGTGAGTTACCAATACGTCGTCGCGCTCATCTTGAAGCTGATCCTTATCACCCCAGCCCCACAACTCGTGGCTGCCATCTCCAGTGCGCTGAACGCGCTTCTTCACCATGTCCCTCGACACTGTCTTGAGATCGTAGGCCCAGCCTATTTTGGCGAAAAAATCAATAAACATCGTCGTGAAGTTGTACCAGTAATCTCCGAGTTCAGCTGTCTTGTAGTCCCAGGGGAAGGTGTGATGATAATTATGCCAGCCCTCCCCTAAAGCTAGGAGGGCCACGCTCAGATTTTGCGCTGGATTCATGAACCTGGAACGAGACGATGCCAAAAGGAATTTTCTTTGAAATAGATGATAATTTTCAACTTGTACCTGTCGTACGGCTTGTTTCCAAAGAGATGAGCCACAGAGTTGACCAGCCAAGTAATGTTCAGCGTAAACGCATAACGGAGCAGAGTCGGGATGTACAAAGCGTTTACAAATGTTTCGTTCCAAAAGTATATTGGTATAACGGTGGGCAATACGAAGCAGAAAATCGGCATCAATATCAAGTAGTACCTAACAGAAGACGAATTTACGTTTAAAAAGTTTAAAAAAAATCTGGTTGACCATAAATCAAGGAAAAACGCACTTCTTCTGGAAGACGAGGATCGGGTCGCTGTACAGATCGCTGAGATCGATGCCCTTTCCCTTTTCCTTGACAGCAGGATGTTTGCGACAGAGTAGCCACCCGATGTGGCAGAAGAAGAAGCCCCTCTTTGCGTTGTGTGGGTCAGCGTCGGTCTCGCTAATAAAGAAATTTAAAAATAACTAATTGAAATGTACATTTTTTTGTGCCTGCTTGCACACTATTAAAAATCAGGTCACCTACCTATACTTGTGATGTAATCGATGATCCCTCGCCCAATCGATAGCCGCATCCTTGAATCATTTTCAAAATAAAGTAATTGTTGACAGAGACGATCAAGATTCATTAACACACTTACCTGAAAGGCTATGGTGTTAAAAAACACGAGGATCAAACGGAGTGGCCACTTGGCCTTGTAGGAACGGTGAGACCACAGCCTGTGCGCACCCGCCGTGATTCCCAGGGCGCTTATTTCATACAGAAATATCGCTGTAACGAATATAAAATGCATTAGGCTGCTTAATTTTCCTGAAAAGTAAAAAAATTAAGTTAGGTAAATGCTTACCGAACAATGTTGTCGAGATTTTAGCAGAGGTGAAGATCAACCACACTCCATAGAGGGCCCCAATATGCAAAGAAGCAAAGAGAATGATATTCCTCCAGACCAGTTGGCGTTTGTACTTGTACTCCGTTTGAGCTGATGATGCGGCTGGAACGATCGTTTCAGTTTTATCATTTTGGGCTTCTTCTTCAGCAAGGCTATCGTTTTCGAAGAGTACACCGGTTGGCGACGATGACGTGACATTAGGTGCCATTTTTACAACCCTATCCCTGGATAAGTTGTTGGACACAAAAAATTACTTTTAAGATGTTATTAAATATTTAACGGCGATTTGTTATTCATAGACGCATGCATATCGTTTAAAATTCAAACTCGCTTTTTGATTACTCATTACAAAAAGCTTACGTGCCTAATGGAACGTGTACCCGCAAAATTGTTTTTCTCAGCGAAAAAAATTACTCAAATAATCATTAAATTAATATGCTAACGAAAATTCTACGATGTATTCCTGCACGTATCTACAATAGTCAGTAACTATAAGCATTTATTTTTACTGTACGCACGAGTGACCTTGAAGGACGCGATCGGTGTACGCCTGAGTCAATGAACTAGAGGATATCATAATATACTTATACAATAATTAAATATGAACAATGAACCTATACTAGACATCACAAAAATGAGGTGATTTTGTTCGGTAACCAATAATGAATCAAATGCAAACTTTCCACGTCCTCACCTGTATTAATATTGTCAACGTTAAGTATGTCCGTTATGCACGTGTGAGCGCGATGGTATGTTATACACGAAACGCCGGTTGTCACTTAATGACAACGTTTATATTAAATGTATAAATGGCGAGGTGGAGAATAGTATGCTGATCCATTTCCCGTGACCACAAGAGTAAACAACGAAAAAAAAGGCAGAAAAATCCAAATGAAGCCACGTCATGGTGAAAAGGAGCTACCAGTGCTGTGTAAGTACTTGTATTAAAAATGTAAGACCTTGACAAAACGACACCGGCTACAGCAAAACCGTAAAGGCAATGCTCGTCTTTCGATTGAAATCACACGATTAACTCTTCTTTCAACGGTAGATATTCATTTATATTTCACACGAAGGGGCACCACGTCAGAACTTGGCTCAACCGCTCAGGTTACACGCTTATACCTGCAGCTTAATTGTTGATTCGAAGGAAATAATATACCTACATCGTTGCAATGGATTTAATCACGTATAATTATTACAACGCGTGAGTCATTTATTAGCTGTCACTGTATTATACCCATACTATATTGAACACTGAACTCATTACACTCACGTTTATCCTGTTCACTTTATAGACTACTCGTCTGCTAGAGAAAACGCGCACGTGTGGAAATTCGTGTACGTCTGTTATACATATATACGCTGCACGTCCTTATGTATCTTATACTTCGTACACTCAAAGGAAGATGAGAAATTAATAATGAATTCCCTTCTGTTTAATACATTTTTCTCTGAACATACTTACTTAACGTTATGCACTAATTATCCCGGGTCCTCTGGCTAAACTAGTACTAAGCGCACCGCAGCGCTGGACGCAGATTGCAAAACAAAAGATTTTTTGGAGTGAGTCAGCTGATGTGGCCTTCGGCGCCACCACCAGCGCGTTTTTCGTGTGTATACGTGTGAGTTTACATGGTGTCAGTGTCAGATTTTCTTTCGAAGACGTTGTGTGAAAACACGCCCTGATTTGAAAAGTCATGAGCTGACCTCCCCTTTTTGTTTTGTTATACCTAGGTATAACCCAGCAGTGGACATTATACTGTTGTTATTGTCACATATCGCTAACATTGACTTTGGAAAGTAAACATTGTGACTTATTTACTTTTCATTTAAATCGCACTGGACACCTTCTCAAATTGGAGGCTCTATTTTGGTAAGATATATATGTTTGAGAATTACATCTCGGCTTCTGCAGGTACTGCAGTTTTTTGCTGTATTAAATAGTATTGTTTTGGTGACGGAGACGGAAAAAATATTTGTTAAGATGTTTATACCCTATAAAGCCAATAGCTACTTGAACGTTGCTATTCAGCAATAAATGTTATTTTTATTACAAGTTATCTGTGATCTCATTGGTTCAATTGGTTGCCAATGCTCATAACTTGTAATTGCTTCGTAATTGAAGTCATTTTGTTGTAAAAAAAAAAAAAAAGAATTTGTAAACACCTATATAATTATTTATCAGAAAGATCCACCTCTCTATACTTATTTGGCGTGCACATAATGGGGAGCGAAAACCCTCCAGCAGGCATGTGAGAAAAATGCGCCAAAATTTTTTCAAGTTTTTAAAAGAAGAAAATTGGTCGCTTGGAAGTTAATGAATAATTATGAATGAAACAATGGTTTTCATAAAGATTCTTTACATAAATTTACAAATTGTGATTGTCTGGATGTTGATATTATTTGTATGAATAATTGTCATTTGCGCAAATGATGACACATTCCAAAACTTAGAACTATTTCAACGGTAAAATTGATTAGTATGCATAAGACGACTCTTTTGGGAACAAAGTTGTTGACTTAAAAACATGACTTTTTTTTTCAACACGCGCGCGGTGTATCCACTGCTGTTTTGGCGCAGATAAAAACAATGGTAAATGCAGTATTAAACTGCCAAATACATATTCTGGAATGGTGCTTTCGCAATATTTGAGGTGGCGCTTTTAATCAGTGAATACGAGATTTTTTCCTCGTGATTCACGTGGTCATTACTAGGATTTTCTTGTTCCAAAATTTACAATGTTTGCTCCGGTTTGCTCGATATAAATGTTTAGTACACGCTCTCGGGCTTTGTGATCGATAGGTACGTTAACGTTTCAAACATTACCTGGAAGAGAAAAATTGATAAGTAATTTACTGCTGGATTTCCGAAAATATTTGACAATTTTTTTTTTTTACGAGCACTTGTTACAGTACAGCTGTACACATTTCAATTTTTTTTTATTGTTAAAAATTGTTTGTTCTGTCATCTTTTTTGAAATTTCTCTCCAGACAAAACATTACAACTAGTATAAAGAATTGTTTTTATTTTATTACATTACGTTGATATTTCAAAACGTCGGACGAAATACAAAATTTCACACAATCGAAAATACGTGCAATCACGTTTATGATGATAAATAAATTCACCAGAACGAAGTGTTTTCTCAAAATATGTAGTTAAAAAATTGATAAATGAGAGAGCCTCAACAGTATGCTACCGGTACACTTTCAGGAGTAGAGCGGGTCTTTGAGTTTCAGGGGCTAGTTTGAAAGACGTGAGATAAATCAAAAGAGGGTATCAAGGCATGCCAAAAATAAAACACAAAGGAATCGATACATACATTTTTTTTTTAAATAAATTCCATTGGCATCCCTCTAGCTATTAATCACGTTACGATATTACAAAAATATACGGAGCACTGTCATATAATATATATTAGATTTTCGTAATTTTTGCAGTCGTTACTTCCGTAAACAACAAATTGCCCTGACAAATTTTACGACTGGCAAGTGCGGTGACTGCACATTTGTGGACAGATACATGAATGTATGGAAAAGGACAGAGAGAGAGAGAGGTCGCAATTTCCATACAATTTCGTCAATCGCAGCGCCACAGGCATCTGCTTTACATCCAAATTCAGCTCGTTCGCGTCTGCGAGGGAAACGACAGCACAGACGATGAAAGTAGGTACGGCTTTTCGTTGACTTTTAAATTGATCTTGTCAATGGCACGTGCGGTTTATGTGCCACACGAAAATGTAGCGAAACTTTGGCCTTCGAAAAACATTCCGGCCAAACGAGCAGTAGTTACCACGAGACCAGTCGGCCCAGTTTACGCGAAATTAATTAACGATACGTGGCTATATATGTGCCGCCACGCGCGGCCGAGCGCACCCGACAGTCAAATTGACCGGCCGGGCCGTTCTCTCGGAAAATCAAATATACCCCCTCTCTCTCTCTCCCGCGTATCACCTCGGTAATCACCACCCGCTCGCGCGGTATCAATTTTCAATCGTCCCCCTTGACATTTGCCGCGCGCCCGTAACCAACGAGTCAATGGACGCGCCAGCAATTTTCCCGGATTTTTCTTTATTCCTTCCTCGACTCTCGGGATGACGGCTGCAGCGGTTCAATCACGAGAGCTTCCTTCCTCCCCCAGCACCAACCGTCTGCGCAATCATCAGAAAGAAGCTCCCGGCTGCGAGCAATCGGTCTCTCTATACGTACAAACCTTATACCCATGTATATATACATAATAAGGAAAAGCGCGTACAGAGACGCTCAATGAGAGCGGTGGTATACGCGTGTATATATATGCTCGAGAGAGGGAGAGAGTAATCAAATGAAAACCACCAAGTATCATCCGCCGGCAGTGGCTAAAGCGATTGCGTAATAATGTCGCGTTTCATCATCGGGATGAGTAAATTAATTGCTTCCTCCTCGAGACGTTTCGCTTGATCGTCTCGATTTGTCTCGTCCTCCTTTCATTGCGCTTTTATGTAACCTTTTTCCTCCTTTATTTCGTCGATCGCGACGTTAAATTGCACCTGTAAAGCAAAAATGTGTAAAAAGGAAAAGCCCCGTAAAAATTGGGGAAAATAATAAAAATAAGAATACTCGAATGTGGGTTTTTTTCTTCCCCCCCTCACTTGATGGTTGGGAATGTGAAACGTGGCTAGCAAGGCCAAAGAGGGAAATAAACGAATGAAAGGTAAAGGTACCCGCTGCAGTGGGTTTTGATGCCTCGTGGATCAAAGCGTTCCGTATTACCGTGTATTACTTTCATCCAGCCGTATGCGTCGGTTGTATAATGTAATACAAATGTATTATATATATATATATACCTTTGCGCAAATTTTTTATGCAATATCCACGTACGCGCCCCTTTTGGCTTTGCCCGTCGTGTAGGTATATTATTATTATTTTTGTTTTTTATTCGCCCTGACGGTTGGGGATTGCTTTTTTAAATTGTGACGTTTGGGCGTAGTACATACACGCGTTTAAATGTGTGTACGCACGAGCACCGGAGGATTTTTTAAATGCACGACTCTGATTCGGGAGTCTCTTGCGCAAACGAATCCGAAAAGCATTTGTTAATTTTTAAGCAAAGAGATACACATTTTGATGAAAAAAAAAACTGCCATATATCGGTTTATTTTCCAAATGCCAGAGGATCGCATGGTTTTTCTAAATAAAACTACTTAACGGGGAAACTCCGGGCTTTTTCGGAGTACCTATACTCGGATTATTTTGTTTTTCATTCGTGCCCATCAACGAAAGCAGCTTAAATGTGCCGTTCGTAGGTAGGTAAACGATGTAACTTGTACACATTTGCAGTGGAGCAAAAACGCGCTCTCCTATGTAGGTGTGTAATTTTCAATTTCACACGAGCAAACGGTGAGAGGCGACGAGCAAAAAAAAAAAAGGAAAAATCCATCTTCACCATATACGGTGAAAAAAAAAAAAATTAATTTCTCTTCAAGCGCGTAATGTATGCGAAACAGCTCATTAATGCAGCGACGTGCCCGACGGCGCGTAGGCGTTTCTCGGGGCCTGGTTAACGCAGCGAACAACAGCGACGACGCGCCCTTGTTGTGGAACATGTAAAGGACCGAGCGAGGGATTCACGGGTGATTGCTCGCGGCGTCGCGCCGTCGTCGTCGACAGTCAACCAAGAAGGGAAAAAAAAAAAAAAAAAAAAGGGAGAGAGGAACAAGAAGGGTATACAGTCTGAAGAAACACGCTTTTTGGCGTATCTTCCTTTTTTTTTTTTTCATCCGTAGGCAGCTGTACACACACGCGTAACGCAAGCGAACGACTGATCCGAACCGAAAGCTCGAAATGACAAGCTCCTTTGGAGGGAGAGTCGACAACGATGAATCCGGCAGATCGATCGGTACGAACAGAGCTGTGTATATAAAGGGGGGGGGGGGAAATAGCAAGGCAAAATATAGACGGCGCGACGATAATTACAGCGGAAGCCCCGTTGCTGGTGTTGTTGTTGGAACGGAAGATGAAAGCTCGTCGTCCCGACGCCAAGATTTCCCATGGCCTCCCCGGCCTTATCCGTTGTGCAGGAGAGAGGCGTCGAAATCATCGCGACGGGTCCTCATTTACGGCGGAAAGAAAGACTCTCGCGCGAGGAAAAAAAAAAGGGGTGGGGGAGTCGGACACGTGCGTGCGAGAATACCGAACAATGCGAAAAAAAAAAAGCTCGGTGCTGATAACGACGCGCACAGGGAGGCAATAATCTTGGACGGGCGGGTGAACGAAAAAGGAAAAAAAAGCCTCGTAATTAGCGGCTGAATGCAGCACTTTTCTCATAGCGTCTCTTGGGGCGCGTACTGATGAGAAAAGGCGCCGGATTTTGCGGTGACTAATTGTTCCTCCATCTCGTTTGCGTCCGTCACTGTGTTGTAAGACAGAGCCATTGGAATAAAATCAATCGTGAAAGAACGAGACAGGGGGGGGGGACTCCCCGCCGGAGACGAAGGAAATTTGTTTGCGCGACGGTGGATGATTTGTCGCTCGTGTCCAAAAGATGGGAGGGATCGAGGGCTATTGCCGAAT